TGAACAAATGCAGCAATGGTACTCAATAGACACTATGCTGAAGATGCAGTATTCAACTTGCGGGTGGGGATTGGAAGGGAAAATTGGGAATAGGGCAAAGGATGACATTGTCCAAAAAGAAATGTATGCTTAACTTATGTAACTGTAATCCCTCTATATATCAAATGTATAATGAAAAATTAAAAATAAAAATATATTAAAATGAAATAATATAAAGTTTAAGAAGGTGCTTCAAAAACATAGTCTCAATTAACGTTAAGCTCTAGTAAGTATTCTTCATGAAGTATAGAGATGTCCTATTTAAATTTGTTTAGTCCATGTAAGGCACAGTGAGACACAAGGATTGGGAAGCTCTAAGTGTCAATCAGGACTTGGGGAAAGTATGTGGGATCCTCTCTTATCTGAAAAAAATATAACATTAACCAATGGGACTGGAGGGATGCCTTCAGTGCTAGATTGCTCCCTGATTTCCAAATCCAAGATTATAAAATATGGTAATAGACAAAAAAATTGCAAGTTAATGACTAAACAAACTTAATTCTATGTGAAAGACAGAAAATAGTGTCTCTGAGCTCAAGCAATGCAGATTTCTAGTTCTTTTCTCATGGCATGAAGAAATCAAGCTAACCTTGGATTTCTGAACACTTTGCTTTCCCAGCTAATCTAGTTCTGATGCACTGGAGACTTGTGAACCTGGCTTTGTTAGTCATGACAACAGCTCAAGTGTAGGCACAGTACATGATAAGCATACTGGATACTCAGGAAAGATATAAGATGAGAAAAGGGAATTGTAGAATGATAGCTAAAAGAAGCTCAAAGTCCAGGAGACTGTTATCTCCAATAAACTACTTAGAAATAGCTGGAGATGACACTGTGTGACCTGCAGCTATGACAAGATCATACTAGAGAAGCACATTGTTGGCAGGTTTGGGGCCATGGAGCAGCTCAGCAAGAATGCTGGGTGGGTTGGGAGGCATTAGAGCAGCAAGAATGGTCTGTCCCTTGGGTGTGTTCAGAGAGCCTGAGGTCTGTAGCTGTGCCACTGTAGCACTACATAGGGCATGGTGTAGCACTACATAGGGCTGGCCACTGGAGTCTGAATCAGGAAGATTCTGCCAGGGGCCCAAGCATGGTACTTATTCATCTTGGACAGCCCTTGTCTTAACTATGACCTGTCATGTACACCGGAGTCCTGGACCCAAACTAATAGTAAAGGCTTTCAACCAAAGAAGCACATATGCAGTGTGAATGACTGGAAGGAGTATGCATGTGGACCAGAAGTGAGACATGGGAGCAAGATGGGGGATTCTAAGATAACCTCACTGAGCAACACATCTAGTCAGCCATCAGGCTCATAGCACTGACCCGAGTACCACTGGCAGCTTGATGCAGCTGGAATAGGCCAGGCTATGGGGAGCATCAATGCTGTTTCAAACCTACAACTTGCCACTTAGGCTTGGCGAAATGATGGGAACCATTGGTGTGGCTACGAGCCTCAGTGACATACTGTCAACTGACCAGAGCAAGTCTCTTCATGGCCATGGTTCTTCTCCTGGGGAAAGGGTTCCCAGTAAATGGCAGAGAGTGGTAGTGTCTTAATGAGTTCCCATTGTTGTGACAGAAGATCTGATACAGACAAATTAAAGCAGGACAGGCTTATTTTGCCTATAATTTCAGGATTTTTCAGTACATGTAAGTTTTTATAACACAAAACCTTCTCACATACTGAGTGATTCCTTGGAAGTAGATGGAGGAGAGAATGAGAATGACAACATACCGATGTACCTGGCATTCTCCTTTTAGGATATTTATTCTCTCAGGCTCCCAGAATGGGTTGGTAATGTTCATCTACATTGAGTGAAGATCTATCCACACTGTTAATCCTCCTTGCAATAACATAACCCAAGGAGTGCTTTCCTAATCTCCTAACTACTTCTTAATCCACTCATGCTAATACTCAACATATCCATCACAAGTCCACCTTTATTAACTTGGAACTTAATAGTTCTTCATAACCCTAAGATTCCACCTTTGCTCTTGTAGGTTTTTGTCCATCCATTTCCCAGAATTCCCCATGGCTGTAAACAATCTAAAACTCTTCAAAATTTTAAGACTAAATTTTCTTATGAGATTCTAGGAAAACTCTTAGGCATGAGTCACTATGAAGTGAAAAACAACTCATATACACTAGAGGTAAAATGGCACAGATTATAGATTTCCACTCAATCAGAAAGGAAAATTCCCACCTTATGGTATTTTTACTTGCAGGCCACAGGACATTTCCCTTTTTTGTTTTTTTTTGTCAGTCGTGGGGCCTGAAATCTGGGCCTGGGCACTGTCCTCAGCTCTTCAGCTCAAGGCTAGCAGTCTACCACTTGTACCACAGCTTCACTTCTGGCTTTTTCTGCTTATGTAGTGCTGAGAAATCAAACCCAGGGCCTCATGCATGCAAAGCAAGCACTGTACTACTGAGCCACCTTCCCAGCCTCAGGCATTCTCCTTAACAGGCATTTCATATTCCTGACATGACCAATACCCTGAGGCCTCCACTACAGGTTAGATTTCATCCTCACAGCATCACACATCACCCTCTGAGGAGCAACCATTGGGGATTTCATCCAGGACACATGGACTCTGCTTTTTTTTTTTTTTCTTGGAGATGGGGACAACACTTTTCTGCCTTGGTAGGCTTTGATTCAGCTCCCAGCATGTGCCACTGCTGCCAAGCTCTCAAATTCTTCTTAAAACCACTACTTTCTAGGGTGTTTTTTGTTCAGTTTAATTTATAAATTTATTTTTTATTTGTTGCAGTTTAAAAAACTTTATTATACTACACACTCTATTAGTAAATATACCAAATTTCATTTTCTCAAATGGTGAATGGAGTGCAAGATGGTCATCGCATGTTTCTTCATTACTAAGCATAGGATCAGATTGAGGGATGGCTTTAGTGTATTCCTATTGAGTGACCACATAAGTGTGGAAGCCTACCATTGTCCTGTCATCATATGTCAGAGGAAGGTCCACTTTAGATTGGAAGAAAATGTTTCAAGGTAGTGCTCTCTGCTCTTATCCACTTCTGCTGCTGTAATAGTGTATCAGGATGCTTATCAAGCAGGAAGAGAAAAGATATTTCAAAGGAAACTGCTTTTAAAGTCCACTTCTAGGCACACTGATTTTCATTCCATGGAGCCTGTCATCTTGCTTAAATCTGGGTCCTACAAGGTACCACCTACATGTATTTTTAAATGTTTGTCTACAAATGCTTTTTCCAGGGTGTTACAAGTTAACATTATGTGCAAAGTGCACATAATTGCTCTCATGAAATAGCCTCTATTATACACCAAGAGTTGTGCATTAGTAACCTCTAATGCATTTCTTAGCCTTTTCTAATTGACAATTGATAGTAACCACAACCATGGCATAGTGGGTCACACCTGTAAACCTAGGAAGTAGATGTGTGGTTTGAAGCCATCCTGGGCAAAAACTTTGTGAGACACCAACTAATCCATATCAAATGATGAGTGCCACTTTCAGCTTTTTCTGCTTATGTGGTTTGTGCTGAGGAATCGAATCTAGGGCTTCATGCATGCAAGTCAAGCACTTACCACTGAGCCACCTTCCCCACCGAGTTTTATTTATTTTTTAATTTCCAAAATAGCTCCAGAAGTGGAGCTATGGATGCAATGGCAGAATGCTACTCCTCAACAAAAAGAGCTCAGGGACACAGCTTATTAAGTAAAAAATAAAAAGTTTTCAGTTTCCTTAGAAACAGAGCAGAGTTTATAGAAAAATTAAATGCAGTAAGTTGTTTTTCTGAAAGCAGACAGTCAGGATGAATTTGCTACTTCTCCTCTGACTCCATCTCAGCTAAAATCTTGACTAAGACACTAAGGACTAACCTCTAACAAAAGTTTTATGCCCATGGTTCTGTAATGCTAGCTGCTGAGATCTGAGCACCATGGTTCAAAGTCAGCCCAGGAAAGTTCATGAGGCTGTCACCTCCAATAAATCACCAAAATGCAGAAAGTGATGTTATGACTCAAGTGGCAGAGCACTATCCTTGAACCAAATTGCTCAGGGACAGTGCCCAGCCCTGAGTTTCATCACTATGATCAGTAAATAAAACATAGAGAATATAGGGAATTATACAAAATGCCAGATTCTACCAAATAATAAAGAAGAGATGAACTCCCTGTCCTGCTGCCCAGAAGCTAGAAACTGCAGTGTTCCCAGGCAGGATGCACATGTGCACACCTTTGATTGCATAGTTACAATAGCAGAGCATGAGTTATTCTAACTCCTGAAAAATGCCTTTGGCTTGGCCTTTAGCTGGTTGTTTTGCAGTTGGAATCTCCTAGACTTTTCTGCCTAGCCTGCTTTTGAACTGTTATTCTCCAGCTCTCAGCATGCTCACTAAATAAGATGATAGCATGATCCATCATGGGATGACACATTGCTGAGGAACTTCTTTGAAACAATGGAGATGAAAATCCCCATAAATGATTGTAATTTAATGTGCAATATTGAGTGGTGGTTAGTCTGTTCAGGCAGGTGTACAACAGCCATCAGCAGGTCTGAGCTCAGCGCTCCTGGTATTCAGCACTGATCATTTTTTAATTGTGCTAACCCTTTGTATTATTGCAAGTGTTCTTTATTTTATGTTCAAGAATCTTATAACAAACAAGACTTGAAAATATCTTTTTCTGTTTTCCATTCAGGTGTGGGTTGGGGAGCGGGGGAGGGGAAAGGATTGAGAAGGAAGGTGGCCTGAGAAGGCACTGGGGACTGGCAGGGCATCAGGGCCTGAGCTAGTTCCCCAGTGCCTTCTGAATAAAGTGAGGCTGCATTGTTGGACAGTCAGTAGGGACAGGACACACTAGTGGGAGTCCATACTGGCTCTCTCCAGGACTGCAGTGTCCTGGTCCCTCCTGCCTGCTTGCAAGTGCCCTGGATGTGGCCCTCTCATGGGCCCTGGTGGGTGAATGTCCTTAGGTTGCCCCGCTGGCTTCCTGTTCCCAGATTTGCCATGATTCGCAGCTGCCCCTCCTCACTCTGGTTCCAATCCCAGCACTATCTGCCTCCTACCAGCACCTCCCCACTCATGCCTCATGCCTGCAAGGCAAGCATTCTACCACTGCTGACTCATTATTTTTTCTTGTTCAAAACACCATTGCTAGGAGGGATGAGTGACAATGTTGTCAGACAACTTGTATTTATATACTGTCTTGTAGAATGGAAAATTCTTTGTACAACCACCTAAAGATAACAATAACAATAATAATAATAAATGTTTAAAAAACACCATTGCTTCTGTCCTGCACTGATAGAAAAATATCCTAGTTCCCTTACCTGCACTTCTGATAAATGATTTTTATCAAGATTTCTGATTTACTAGAGACAGCTTACATTTGACCATTTATGTCAGTCACACCACACCGAGGTGACTCTCAGGTCAGGGAAGGAGCCCTGAGCCCGGCTTATCACCCCATCCAATTCTACTGACTTTAATCAAGTGCACTATTCCCTACCTGGTAACATTCCTAATGAACCTCATGATCATTTACAACATCCTTCTGGACTTCCTGGATATGAGAAGCCACAGGTCAGGTGAGTCCTAGGTCTGTGGGAGCAAGTCTCCTGCTGAGCCCTGAATTCTGAGCTCCAGGACTGTTCTTCCTTTAACTGGAAACTTCTTTATTTAACGTAAGCCACTTTTGATTTATGAATTTGTCATTTTTCTATTTTTACAAAATAGAATTTTTGAAGTAAGTCTTGATTTATGAATATAAGGTGGCATTTGCTATTGTACAGAGAATAAATATAGTTAATGTAAGCCTTCGTTATAAAGGAAGCTATTTGTTATTTGTGGGGGCTCTGGGAAGAATGTTTTTCCAGTCCCAAGTCTTGAATTCTGAGCCTAGGCACTGTCCCTGAGCCTGTTTGTGCTCAAGGGTAGCACTCTACCACTTGAGGCACATTGAAGCACTTGAGCCACTACACAGTTTTTTCTGAGTAGCTTATTGTAGATAAGTGACTCCTACCCAGGTTGGCTTAAAACTGCAATCCTCAGATCTCAGCTTCATGAGTATCGATGATTACAGATGTGAGTAACTGGCACCCAGCTGGTAATCGAATATTTTTAAAAATTGTATATTCCCAGAGACAGTCATGATGGTTTATTGCTTGCTGTTTTGGAGGTCTGAACTCACATTAGAGATATTGAGAACTCAGTAGTATGTCTAGCAAACCTAATATATTGGCATCTGTCACATGATAGCTTGCTATTATTAAAGTTCCATCTTTGTGTTTGAGAAGCTGAGATGTGAAGAATAAGGGTGAAAGCCAGCCTAGGCAGGAAATCTGTGATACTCATCTCCAGTAACTTGCCCAAAAAAATCCAGAAGTGGAGCTGTGGCTCCAGTGGCAGAGTGCAAAAAAAAAGAAGCTCAAAGACAACACAGGCCCTGAATTCAAGTGTCAGTATTCAATTCTCAGGACTGGGGCACACACACATACACATACACACACACACACACACACACACACACACACACACACACACACACACACAAAGAGCTGGTCATCGGTGGCTCCTGCCTGTAATCCTAACTACTCAGGATGTTGCAATCTGAGGATCATGCTTCAAAGCCAGCCCCTGCAGGAAAGTCCGTGAGACTTTTGTCTCCAATAAACCACTCAGAAAACTGGAAATGGCAGTGTGGTTCAAGTGGTACAGCGGTAGCCTTGAACTGAAATTCTCAGGGACAGAGTCCAGGCCCAGAGTGTTTTTCCATGACTGACAAAAGAAAAAGAAAAAGAAAGAGCAAGAAATAAATAAAAAGAAAATGCAAGGATTTGGGGAAACAAGAACAACAACAACAAAACCCACAGGACTTCTATCTTGGGTAGAAATCTGACCACCTAGGGAAACATACTAGTGAAATGTTGACCCTGACCCCACACTAAGTCATGGATCTTGGAATAATAGCTGTTTCTAAGGAAAACAGGACCCTGCACAAAAGCATGAACTATAGTATAGTATATTCAGGAAGGATTCCAATGGTGTAACTCCTTTGAACACCTGAATAGCATGACAAGGGTGGAAGGATAATGTCAAGGAAAATGGGGTAGACCAGTGAAGAAAGGAAAGGTAGATGAATGCAGCCATGATAGTCAATGTAAATAGTGTGAAAATGGAACTAGACAAACAGGTGATGGGGGCTGGGGAAGGGATGACAAGAATGATAAAACGGGTGACATCTATCACATGCATTGCACTCATGATCTAAAGTATGGACATGAAAATCCTTTGTACATCAACTTCATAAAATACTATTTGTAAATGTAATGACACATTGCACTCACAAACATATGTTGAATTGAAATTCTTTGTACAATTACTTAAGTATTTCTATAATAACAAATTCCTTATTAAGCTGGGCATTGGTGTTTCATGCCTGTAATGGTAGCTACTCTGCATGCTGAGCTCTGATGTATCCGGTCTCACATTCTTCCTCTCTGCTTTGACAGTATAATATCATCATTATTTATGATAGCGTACTTTAAAAAAAATTTTTTTTTTGGTCCTGGGGCTTGAACTCTGTGCTTAGGCACTGTCCTTGTGCTCTTCAGCTCAAGGTGAGCACTCTACCGCTTGAGCCACAGCACCACTTCCGGTTTTCTAGTGGTTTATTGGAGATCAAGTCTCACTGACTTTCCTGCCAGGGCTGGTTTGAACAACAATCCTCAGATCTCAGTCTCCTGAGTAGCTTGTATTACAGGCATGAGCCACCAGCTCCTGGCTCACTGTAATAATCTTGAACACACATTTTACTCCGTGTTTTACATTGCCTAATAATATTCTCACATTGATAGCCTGTGAAGCTGCTGTGGGTTTGGTATTATTCTTGCAGTGTAAAATAACTACACTCATTACCTGCAAAGACTTAATCTCTGATAATGCTGAAAATTATTACCCCCAGAACCATATTCATCTCTATACCTTGATATTCCTAAAGTCACATGAATGATCTGAATTAATTCAACCATTCATCACCTACTTATTAGCATGGAATGTCTGTTCATATGTACTCGCTATCATGAAAATTACTTTCACTACTTTTCATTTTTCTCTGTACCCCATTCTAACCCTATCACCCTGACTTCTCCTACATTAGTTCACCTCACCTATCCAAGCAGCCTTTAACATACAGAAAACAGGTCAATACTAATTGTTTTTCAAGTCCTTTCATTATAATACATGCATGGAACTTATTTCCTTTTAGGTTTTATTTGAAGCAAACCTAATTGTGACTCTCCTAATCATTATCTGAGAAGGGAGTCTGACAGAACAACCTAGCATGTGCACGCTCCCAGAGGACCCTCTAGCGGGAAGCAGCGCTCACTACACCCTGGGCCCTATGATGCCCACGCGCTGAGCGTGCCCTCTGGCGGGAAACAGCGCTCACTGCACCCAGGCTCTGAGCACCACAGTAGTTTCAGCTCCAGCCCGTGGAATGGCCTGGCCCTGGAGGCCTGGGCTGCTCTCAGGACAGTCCTTCTCCACTAAGAGTCATCCTCATCATCCCTTAATAAAAGGGCAAAGGAGAGGAGGAGGGTGCAGCGGAAGGAGGTGGCCAGGAGGGACGTAGAAGCTGCGTGCACCGCGGTCTGGTGTGGGTGCGGTGGCCCAGCCCCTGCCTCCGATTTCATCTATGCAGCTTTTCCCATGACAGTTAACGAGATACCGAATCGGTTATTTCTTGAAAGATTGTCCCCAAGCTGCTCTGCCTTTCCCTGCCTTTCTCTCAACGAAGGCGGCTTGACGATGTGTGGGTGCCCAGCACACTTGGGGGCCATTCCATCTCCTGATACTGTTCGCTGTCCCGCTCTGCTGCTAGGTGCTGCGGTCCGAACCCTGGTTCCCATGACCCACGAACGCCCCCGGAGCCGGTCCACACAGAGCCCCGGAAGGACCCAGTTCTCTGCCCAGCGGCTCCCCCTGCGGGTCCTGTCGACCACACCCAGCACCGGCCACTGACAACCCTGACTAGGGGACCGAATCCGGACCCTGACCTCCAGCAACGCGGGGGCGGGGGGTTGGGGGGAGTGGAGGGGGGGCAGGGCTGCGCATGTGCAGTGGGGCTTACCGGGCAGTGGAGGATCCGTCACCTCTAACCAGGTGTTTCCATAAGGCATGGTGTGGTGGACTCACCGGATCCAGCTCCTGGGATGGTGCCACCAAGGCCTTGGCCAGAGTTGTGCCTGCTGCTCAGCGCTTCTGATTCTCTACCACAAGTTTAGAACAGGATCCGTGCCCAGACATGAGCCAGCCAAGTTCACGTCCCCGCTACCCCGAGCCCAGAGGCCACCCTTCCCCGCAAGCACCAGGCTGGGCTCTGCACCCCGGTGCCGCCAATGTGCAAGCGAGAGCACGGTGGCGTGAGGCTTTATTCACTACAGGTCCATGCAACCTGCGGGATCCCAGGCTTTTCAGCGAATTGGCTTCTCCTTGGGTCAGTAGATGCGGCTTGGTCGCACAGATTGGCTCACTGGGAATGCAGACCCAGAAGTGAGGGAATGCAGGGCCCAATCACCATGGAGACCAGAACCCGCGAGCATTACCATTGAATGGAATCCCTGGGCTTCAGGAACTAGTGTTGAAGGAAATACACAAAAGCCCCACCGGGGCCTCAGTTTATGTATAGCCAGCTTGTTATTCATGCAGCATTTATACCACCTACTGAAGTTTGGAAAAATTGTAAGGTAATTTTTAATGTGATTCTGTGTTTCAGAGAAAATCTAAGCTTTTGTGGTGGTGGTGGTGGTGGTGCAATATAACTTCCTGGTATATTTAAGTTTGGGATATATAGGAAATAAAAATTAGGTTGCCTAGTGCCCGGTCAGATAGTAAATGTTGTCATTCTTCACGCTGACAAATAGATTCATTTTTGGACAGGAACATGAAAGGGTACATGTTAAAATATGTATTTTTCATAAATCTGCATGGAT